CAGTGGTTGGTAGTAACGGTGGTGGTAGAGGTTGCAGGAGGTACTGGAGGTGGTGGTGATGGTCTTGGTGGTAGAAGACCATCATATTTGGTAGTAAAGGTGATGGTAGACATTGCAGGATGTAGTGGAAGAAGGAGCGTGGGACCCGTCACCTGTGGGCAGATGATCAACCTGCATCAAGCGGTTCTCGTGGTCCCCAACTTCTGCCCACTAACCCCACAAGCTTCTCATGTGTGTCTTTCTTGGTAGATGATTTCTTCAGCCTGCCATTCTTGTCAACGCTGTGAATGCTGCCCACCATTTCCTCAGTGATCTTGACATTCTCATAGTCTCTGTGGCTGGGGTTATCTGTCTTAAAGAAAGCCTGCTCCTATTTTTGCAATGACCAAGAACAGTCTCTCCCAATCCACAAAGCATGCATTGCAAATCCATGACTTGGGCCATCTGCCCAGCAGAGTCAAGCACCACAGGTATGTGGGAACACCAGTAATCCCTCTTGACACATTGCTCCATGAGTGAGAAGAAGTGACTGTGTGAAGAAGTGGAGGTGAATCCACCTGAGAACCATGGTCTTTAAGGCTTACCAACTATAATCCAACAGCTATCTCCTTTCCTCCAAATCAAGCTGTTGCCTGCAGAATGTCTCTGCAAAGGAAATCCACCTTGTTGATTAATGCCCTGTCTAGACCCAAGAAACCCTATGAGCCGCCTTTTCTCCACATTCCCCATGCTTCCCTCATCTTGCCTCTCTTCCTGGGGGTCTATCTCACTAATAACCCAATCCATCACAGCCCCCACGCAAGCCCCAGTGCTTGCTGGGATGGATCCAGTTTATGTATTAAGGTGTTTCTGGAATTCTAAGCTTCAGAGGGTCAGAAACTTATCCAAACCACATTGTCTAACTTTCATACTTTTGTAAAATCCCAAATAAAAATGAACCTGAAAAAAAAAAAAAAAACACAAGAAGATGCAACGTTATCTGGATTGCTAGCCAGGACGGAATCCAGTTGGGACATCAAACCAGATGAATGGGAACCCAAGGCCTGCTTTTGCCATCCAAACGTCTGACGCAATGAAGAGACTTTAGCATCCCAGATGACAGTGAAATACAGCTCACAGCTTGGGGACCACCCCTCACTGTCTCACCACCACCACCACCCACTGCTGCTGAGTGGACACCGAGTCATGACGACCTCATGGGCTCAAAGCAGAGGCCTTCTCCACAGGGTTTTCTATGGCTGGTTTTTAGAAGTACATTGCTAGGTTTTTCTTGTCTCTTGGTGAACTTGAACTAACAACCTCTAGGTCACCACTTGCACCACCTGAAGCTCTCAACAACCTCACTTCCCAGCCTCTGGTCCTTAGTGCCCACCCATCACCAATCCCCATGACAGGAGGCCTTCATGCCCTCCACCTGTGCTCTTAGAATAGCGCCTCGGCTGCACTCCCACCGTGAGAACCCTGTCTCACCTGAGCCATGTTGCAACCCACCCTGACTTGGCTGTTTATGGGCCAAGAGCCCTCAAGGAGGACTTTGTAAAAATAATAGACACTAATCTTTGGAAGGCTAATTAATCGAGCTCTTCCAACTCAAGGGGAAGGCAGCCTGGTTCCTTCCCATCCTCTGGCTCTTCAGCTGACTGTGGGCATGCAGACAAATCCCAGATAGCTGTGGTAGCCTTCTCACAGTTCTGACACCACCTCCCAGGAGACCAGATAGTGAGCTTTAGAAATGTACCCAATGATACCTGCATTTGGAGGAGGCTTGACCAAAAATCTACATGAGCACCATGCAGTTTAAATGGTCAACATGCTGTAACCATGGTAAATGGACTATATACATGGTGAACATACTATATGAGTGGTCGTGGTGCCATGTATGTGGTCATGTGCTGTTTACATGGTCAGCATGCACTATACAAGTCAACATGCCATATACATGGTCAGTGTGCACTATACATGGTTAACATGCACTATACATGGTCAACATACATTATACATAGTGTGCTCTATACATGGCCATTATGTACTATATATGTCATTATGCACTATACTTGGTCACTATGCACTATGCATGGTCAGCATGCACTACACATGGTCAGTGTGCACTATACAAGTCAACATGCCATATACATGGTCAGTGTACACTATACATGGTCAGCATTCACTGTACATGGTCAGCGTGCACTATTCATGGTCATCATGCACTAAAAGACCCACCTTGTAAGCCTCCATTATCTTTGCTGTACTCATGGAAAGTCTCCAAATCTTGACGTACACTAATCGTCCATTCCTGGGAGAAACCACAAGCCTCATGGTGTGTTACAGACCGTGTAAAGCTGGTCAGAAGTTCGAGGCCCACTGGGCCCAAGTGTTGCAGACAATGCAGGCTGCAGGCTCTGAGGAACAAATTCTGGCCACTGGCAGTATGGCAAATTGTTTTTCATCTTAGTTTTCAGTTATGTTTTTTATTTAATTCCAAACATGAGCCCTTAGTATCCACAGATAAATGTAATATTTTCCTAAAGCCAAGACTGTAAAGGTTTCAAGGTTAAACCTTTCTCCAAAGGATTAACTGAAAATAGCTTAGCTACTTCCCAGTTCTTTGTTCTATAAACAAAAAAGCCATCCTCCCTGAACCTGTCCCAGGTGCTGGTTATTCAGCCAAAGTTCCTGAAAACCTGGCTCAGGAAGCCAATACAGCAGGACTCCTCCCGAGCCTTTTGTCCTTCCCTCTCACCTTCCCCCAACTGAGCTCAGGGGCTATAGATACGTTAATTGAGCCTGAGAAACCAAGTTGCGGGCCTGGGATTCGAACCAGTGAAGTATGATGTAAAGTTACCTGAATGTCTGGAAAATTACTGATGTTAGCTGTACTTTGTCTTAGTCCCTCCCAGCTTGGTGTGAAGCTCCTCCCCTAAACAAAACAGAGACGCAGGCCGGCCCAGGTGTGCATTACAGGCAGGCGGTGAAAGTGTGCAGTACAGATTGGATAACGAGCTGTGCGGCTGACTAGGCATGTGTTACTGACCAGCTAGTAAGGGGTGCGTACTGCCCGCTTAGCTAAGATGTTTAACATACAGGACCTTACTGCCCTTATGGCTAATATGTTCACCACGCCAGAGCTGCCGGACACCAGTAATGCAACCATCCTGGTTTTGGGGTGCCTCTTTGTCCCCCTCCTTCTGTCTTTCTGTGTATTCTTTTGCTATCCCTTTCGCCGCCAGATATCCCCTCCTCGTGAACCAAACACTAGTGAACCAAGTTCCTATGTCGAGGCCGGTCCCCGACAGTGGTGAAGTCTACCCTTTCCCACCCAACCAAGGGTCACCACCAGACCCACCCACCCAATGGTCACCACCAAAGAGGACCCAGAAATCCATCGGACTGCTAACCACAAGGTCAGCAGTTCAAATCTAGCAATTGCTCCCTCAAAACCTTATACAGTGTAGCTATGAGTCAGAACAGACCCGGCAACACTTAGTGACAACAACAACAGGGTCTGAAAACCTTGCAAACACACTCCCAGAACACAACAGTTGGTGTCTGTTTGCCTGATGCAATAGAGGAAGAAGGAGATTCCAGAATAAGAGGAGGAAACTGCATGTGTGGCCAGCTGTGTCCATGAACAACTATCCCCTTTGCCATGAGACGAGAAATAGATGAGGCCCGGCTCCTATCACTGGACATTGTGAGCCAAGGCTCTATAAAAGATTTCTGATCAGAATTGTGGAAAAGCAGGACAGAATTGCAAATTTTCATGGAATCCAGATTTTCTGGAGCCACAGAGACAAAATGAACCACTGAAATTGCTGCCCTGAGATCACCTTTAAGCCTTAAAACAAAGTATTCCCTGAAGTCATCTTCAGACTGAGCAGTAGTATAGCTTCACTACTAAGGAAGGTCTAGCTGGAGCATGATGGCCTTTTAAGATCTATCTCTGTGGCATCAAACTGACAACAGCAACTCGGAAGATTCGACAGGAACTTTGGGGGGAGTGAGTTTGTGTTCGTGAAGGGGGATCAATTCAGAGACTTTCATCAGTGTTCCTGAGCTGGTTGAATTGGTGTATGTTCTGCTCAACAACAGTAACAAACATTAATTTATTTTTTAGTTTCAAATATTCCTCAAAGCAGGTCAAAATCATTTGGAGATATTTGGCCATCTCCTCCCAGCTCCAAGACTGTCCTCAGGGGTGACATGGACAGCCTCCCCAGTGTCCTTCACCGTCCTCACCATCTGTATGCAATTACATTAGTGCAGAGTGGATATGTTCTCTAACTGTAGTCTGATACTACATGTGTAACAAGTAAGCATAAGGTATAATGTCGTCATCATTATCATAATATCCCTGCTTTGGACACGAACTCTCTCGGTCATCCCAGGCCCCACTCTCCTTGAGGACAACCCGCACCCGATCGTGGTTTCAGTCATCTATGCATGCTGACCCTTGGTGTCATTGTTGTTAGGTGCCGTTGAGTTGGTTCTGACCCACTACAAACCTCTGTACAACATAAGGACTGTGGTTGTGAGCTGGGGGATACAAAGAGGGTCAAACTGCTCTCGTGAATCCAGTGCGTAATAGAGCACCCTACAGCCACAGGGAAATGGAAATTGGAATCCCCTTTCGAATTCCACATATAAACAGAATTTTAGAAGTGAACTTGATAGCTACAAAGCACCTAAGTCAAACTCCGATTTATCCAGACTCTGAGAAATGAAATCTTCTGATGAGCTGAGATCCCATATACGCACGCACACCATGGGTAGATTTTGATTTTGAAAGACTGTGGATACCACACTAAAGCCATGTTGTTGCTAGTTGTTGCTGTCAAGTCAATTCCAATCCATAGTGGCCCTATGTTCAACAGAACGAAACACCGCCCAGTCCTGCGCCAACCTCACAGTTTCTGCTAAGCTTGAGACTATTGCTGTTGCTATCTCATTGCGGTTCTCCCTCTTTTACGCTGACCCTCCACTTTACCGAGTGTGATGTCCTTATCAAGGGACTGAAGCCATACTGACCCTGATTTCACATGCCCATGTCAATTCACAGGGCACGTGTGGAGCTAGAAAGCCCAGGTTCATGGTATGCACATGTTATGACCAAAAGTTACTGAGAGGAAAACACTCACTGTCAGATCTTGGAGTCAGTTTCAGACCACCGCTATAATGGAGCCAGGATAGCAGTTAAACAAGTCACACCATGTTTGGGGTTTTCTAGGGCATGTAAACGTTGACAACATGGGGGAGTTGGTCAAGTGTATGATGACAATGTCTGAGCTATGATGACCAGACTGTGACACAGAGACACGCAGTGAACCCACGCTGTTGGAACAATAGACTTATTCAATGTAGGGTTGTGTCAACAAACCTTCAATGTGTGAAAAAACAGAGACAAACAAAGAAACCTTAGTAAAGGGAACTCTCTCTCCTCTCTGTCTCCTCTCTGTCTCCTCTCTGTCTCCTCTCT